GTGCTGTTACATCGAACATTATTATTGCGCATTGCCCTGAAAGTCAAAATCTCCTCAGTATCCACTGTCCAGGAGAGACGGGGGAATTCAAAAGTAGGCCGAGTGATAGCATCAGATAACACAACTACCCTCTTGCAAGGCTGCCGATGGCTCCCTCTTTCAGCAAGTTAGTCTGATGGCAGATCAAAGCATTTTACCACTTCCGAGACTGATTTAGTAGCTTTTTTCTGCATAATTTTAGCCTGATAACGGCAAAAAAAAAAGTTATGCAATAGCTGCCAGTATCTCAGTTAAAGGCTGTAAACATACCCTGGATGTAGTAGCCATCGCGTAGTCCACCAAACTTCTCCTGGCCCGCAGTATCCCAGACGTTGAATCGAATTTGGCCCCTATTCGTGTGAAATATCAGCGGATGCACTTCCACGCCCAGTGTCGCTGAAAGAAGAAAAAGATACACGCCAAAAATGGTACCAAAGATTACGGCTGGGCCGGTACACAGCAGCAATAGACAAGGAGTTATTCCACTGCGTGATCTGTATTAAAAGGATGGCGTGAAGCCGTACAGCGATGTGTTGTAGCCGCGCAAAAAAATAGCTCAGATGGGCCTTCAAGGAAAAGCGCAAAGGCCGAACCTAGCCAGCAAATACCATGAAAAGCACGCAATTCAAGCAAAGACGGAGTTGGCAAGGATGCTTTCAGAGTTAAGGTGCATTTTCGTATAGTTTTGGACATCCAAGTTGGACAGAGTCCAGGCTTACTCGGCGAGATTAAATTATACAAAGTTAATTTAAGCGAAGCTGAAGCTAAATTAAATCCGCTGAAGCCACAAAGAGCCACAACGAAGGCGAAGAAACCCCCTGTAGTGCTGACAAAAATGATAACAGTGGCAAAAGATAACAGCGACAGAAAATAACAGTAGCAAAGTACAACAATAATTGGCCAAAGCACGGGCTGCCCGTGCGAAGATGCGTTTTTTGCATAGCTTCTCACAGGTTTTTGTCGCTAACGGCACTGAAAGAATTTCAGATTGGCTGTCAGGACTGTCAGGAAACACCCCTTCAAAATTCCAGTCTTCTAGCTTCTCACGTTCCCGAGTAGCAACTTACTCGAAAGAAACTTTCACGGACCTGTACGTAGGTACCACGCTTACCTGCGAGCAGGGTTTGAGCTAATTAATACCTACTTGGACGGGGAACATCATCTTAAGATTTCAGCTTTCTAGCTTCTCCGATTCCCGAGTTATCAACTTACCCGAAAAAAATTTTGGCGGGCTCGTACGCGGGTACCACGCTTACCCGGGGGATGGGTTTGAGCTCCTTAATACCTACTCGGACGGAAACGTCCCCTTAAAATTTCAGCCTCCCAACATTCCTGGTTCCCGAGTTAGCCGTTTACCCGCAAAAACTTCGGCGGGATCTTACGTGGTACCACGCGGGTAATGGCGCCCATTTTGGGAATTGGGGCTCGTACGTGCGTGTAGATTAAGTTTCCGAAGTTTCAGCCCTGCAGTTTT